AGGGAGATGTGCAAAGAGGGGGTCCCGTCCCTCCCATTCTAACTTCAGACCTCATCACAGAGGATGCAATGGTTGGAGCTACTGCAGCCATCTTATAAGCATGAGGGAAAAGCCAAGACAATCACAAAGGAGCTGCCTATGCAGTAGCCAAACATACCCCTGGAAGCCTCTGGATTTCTGCATATATGGGAAAAACAAACCACTATTATTCCAAACACTTTTAACTGGGTGTTAATAACCCACAGCCCAAAACATGAAAACTGACATAGAATATAAGCCTCACTGAGACTGAAGCATTTCAAAATTATATAATGAAAAGAGGTGGAAACACTGAGTTTTGAATACAGGCCTAATGATTCTAAATCCTTTGTTCTTTTTTACTCTACCATATCCCTTGGACTCTGAATTGAGCAAACACTGTTAATTTTAAAGCTCTGGACAGAATCAGAGGTGACTAATAAAACCAATGCCAATGATAATCCTGGAAAGTAAGAAGAATGTGTGAGGCCGCAGGGATGTGACCTCAGCAGAAAGAGCACAGCCTCTAGGTCCTTCTGTGGGGTTCTGCAGGAAAGGTCAAGTGACCACAGTGGGGTCTCAGGAGTCTAGTTTTCTGACATACCTGGACTGGCAAGAGCAAAGCAGCAAGAGAATTCAACCCTCACTCGGGAGTCCCAAAATATTTACATTAGTGAAGAATATGCTGAAATTTCAACAGTGAAAACTGTATCTCCTCCTCCCAACATAGAAAAAGGCCACTGCATTTTACTCCAGCGCACCAGTAAAGATTTGAACAGGGTTTTGTCCTTGATCGTATCTACAGCGTAGTCAGCTACAGGTATTTAAAAAAGGGAATGGGGGGAAGTATTTTTCTAAAACACTAATTTAAAGAACAAATCAACATCTATTATCTCCTTCATTATGTTTTAAATTATACAACTATAAATCACCCTGCAGCGGGTTATTCAAGGGCAGAATTACTCAGCTTGGCTTTCGCGAAGGTTAGAAGAATGACATCTTGTGCTTTTTCTAGTTATAATTTATAACTTTGCAACAGAACCAGCATTGCCGGTCCATCCATTAGCGGGGTAGATGCACATCTGTTAAAACTCAGCACAATGACTGGCTTTACACAGCCACAGGAAACATAACTCAATCATTCCAGAAGTTCTACAAACTCATTTTTTAATGTAAAATGATTTGAAAACGCAGTTCCCTAAAACATCTGCTAAGCTCTTGCTACCCTAACACATGATATTCTTTCTACTGTTACCTGCCAACATAAATATTTGGTCGCACAAAACACCCTAAGAGGCCACGTGACAGTGTTCAGCTTCAAATTTACATACCGATCTGCAAAGGGCTGGCTTGGACCTAGGAACGCGAGCTCAGATGTTGTTTACCAGAAATGAAAGTTTATTGGGGGGGGACGGGGGGGAGCGGTAAGAAGGCTGAGGGTTAAGTTCATGAAGGTACTTTCAAACATTTTAAAAGGAAACCTAAGTGCCCAAGGAGAGATCTACAAGGCAGAGGTGCTGTGGTGATCTGAACAAGTGCACTCAGGAGGAGGCCCTGAAGGGTCTGCGATCTGGGCAAGTGCTTTGTGCTTTTTAACTACAAGAGGAGGGTAATGGTTCTAAAATTGCAGAGCCGTTGTGAGGAATCAATGAAGACACACATGCCGAGGTATAAAGCATCACGATGTCTGGCCTAAAGTGCCAAGTCGCATCCTACCTGGAAGTATGGCAAGAATCTAAAGTCAACACACATGGCAACAATCACCAACAGCCAAAATTACCCTTGAACATCTTTCCTATCACTGGGTCTGGTTTTGTGAATTACATTACTTGGAGAAAAACCTATATATGAATACTTTATATACACTTACAATGTATATTCATACATACATACACAAAATACAACTTTAGAGTATTTTAACGGCATAAAAGAAAGCTAGAAAGACAGGAAAATACACATGATGGATGTGACTTCATTATCAGAAAGCTCCCGTCAAACTTTAGTTTCCTTTAAGATGTTTCAAAAGCAGTTAAAGAATCCTGTATATTTTTTAAACAATATTTAAAAACACTCTTATTCCCAGGGCATCCGGCTGGCTTAGTAGGTACGGAGTGTGACTCTTGATCTCTGGGTTGTGAGTTCAAGCCCCACACTGGGCGTAAAGCTTTCTTTAAAAAAAATCCTATTCCCATTTGTATTATTTTTATTTTTACAAAAATTGATGGGAAGGGAGACAAATGTTTCCCTCACAGACTCCTCATCCACCTGTCCTGACCTCCAGACCCCAAGGGGACAAGGTGCCAAAGACACAGATTTACCAGTAGGGGTCGCTGTCCTGAGATTAATCCCTATGAGTTTCTCATTAGTGATTATTATACTGCAGGCGGCCAAAATGGAAAAATTAATTAATTTCAAAGTGATAATGCATTTACAGCAACAATTAGAAATGTATAACTGTAAAAGGGCAACATTTAAAAGACAGATTACATTTAATAAAGTTGCACAAGAACATCCAATTGTAAAATTACTGATCTGCAACAATATTCCTTAAAGAGGCACTTAAAATAGCCTGACTCCATGAAGGGTGACCTAATTACTGTAACTAAAATCCCCGTAGTCACAGCAAGTCACAGCAAATAAAACAGGGACACTGATATTAGAATACCGTTGTTTAATACTTCAGGGAGCCAGCTCGGGGGGAGAAGCAAAGGCAGAGCCTCCAAGCACAAGGCTGGGCTGTGCTTCTTGATTCCTTGACCTTGTGCAAGGGGATGTGCATTCCAGCTACGCTTGTGTCAAGGGAAACATTTCTGGTGTGCAACGCGGACAGAGCTATGAAGCATAGACAGCCAAGTGGTGATGAGGATACTGCATCCACGCGAAGCTTCCTCAGGAGCATTTAGGATCCCAACTTTCACATGGGGTGAGAATGGGATGCAACTCTATGGCTTATGTTCAAAAATAAACTGGTGTTAAAAAGGTGGGAGTGCACTCTGCGTCCACGAAACAAATGTCTTATCCTGACAGAAGCAGTGTCAAGCCACATAGAGAAGGATAAAACACCAGAGCGACTTTTCCAGTAAGCCCAGTCTGTCCCGCCAGTGACACAGACCCACCCCGCGGTTTACAGTCATGCTGATGCCTCTCCCACATGCGCGGAGTCCGAAACGTTTATGAACAAGAAGTGACTGGCTATGAGTTTGACAAGTGAGTTTCCATTCCGCCTCTTTATAAACCGAGTCATACAACTCTGATGGCTAAAAATACCCCCAAATACCCGAGTATATAAAGATACTATTAGAGAGAAATTTCCTAAAAATCTAAACCTATATACACATTTCATAGTCTTCATAATTTGTATGCTTATCTAAAAAAGTACATTTGTGGCAGATGAAAGATGCTGTTTTTCAGTTACCTGGGGACAAGAACACTGAAAGTTCATTCTACTATGGCTTCCTGGGGAACCAGAAATACACGCTCAAGACCAGGCTCTCTTCATCTGGACACCCTTCCTACTTTGCTGGTAACTTTCTCTTTGGGCCTCTGGAGACAGAGACAGAGGTCCACCCAAACACCACCACCAGACTCCCGGTTTACAGACTCCTTTAGTTCTGTGACCCTTGTACGCAACACAAACAATGACGTTTCGGAGAATAGTCCTCTCCAAAGGTAATGTCACAACAAAAATAACAACCGTCGTAACAGGAATACTGCACACCTACCACACGCAGACACCATGCTGGGCACGTTCTTTAACTGTGCTTTCCAATCTCGAAGCCATTAGGTACATGTAGCTATTTAAGTCTAAATTAAATATAAATCTAAATTAATTAAAGTAAAATCAAATTAAAAATTCAGTTTCTTACCTGTATTAGCCACTTTTCAAGGTCTCCATAGCCACATATGGCAGGTGGCCACCATGCTGGATAGTCAGATTAAAATCATGACAGAAATTCTATACCCATTATTATAAATGTCATAACCATTATGGTCAATCCCCACACCAACCCCTATTGCCATCTTAGTTGTGAGGAATCAGGCTACGACTGGTTAAGTGCCTTACCCACCACGGTAAGTGGGAATGGCCACTGGAGGAGACAAACTCTATTCAGAGGCCATGGGATCATGTCCCCAAGATAATGAGTTCACCTCGTGATACTCGTAAAGGCCAAAATGTGTCTGGGCCTTTCTGAGGATTAGATGTTAAGTTAGTTAACTAGAACAGTACTAGTATGCACTAATTCTGGGTGTTTTTAAAGGCCTCTGGTTTAGAAAAACACCATTACCAAATACACTGTGTAAAATGTGCATTGTTCATTTAAAAGACTTTCTATTAAAATGTTTTCATGGAAGAAGTCTCTAGATATGGTTGTTATACAACCATCAAAAATGTAAAAACTTTCTATTTACCTTTGTGAAAATTTCCAAATCTAACCACAGAAATGTATTTCATCCAAAAGGACTCACCTTTGGGGAGGTAAAGAATAAAATGCACTTCCAACCAATGAAAGCTTCTCCAGGTGAAGTTTACACTTATTAAAGAAGAATTTAGAACATCAAACACAGATTCTCAGTGAAAACAAAGGAATCACTTCTGCTGATAATTCAGTGGTCACAAATCGATGTTTTTGACCTACTGACCCAAAACACCATTATCAAATACTATGCTTTCTGCATAATAGCAATAAAACAATTGCATCAAAATAAAGAGAACCATTTCCATCAAGACCTCTAGCCATCCTTAACACAACACCTGAAAACCATATCTACTATCCAGCCCTCCAAGAGGCCTTTAGAGAAACAGATGCAAAATAAGTCAATTGATGTGCGATCGAGAGCCCCTTCTGATGGCTCTGATGGGCCTGAGGATGTGACTGTCAAGACCAGACTTAACACTACAAGAGGCGAGAAGCTGAAGAAAACGCGTGTGTCCATAAAGAGCGCACTTAAGGTGTCTGCGGCGATAGAAGCCGTTCACTTACCATGGACTTGGTGAAAGGCCGGGCCAAGGTAAACAGCAGCGTATACACCCACCAGTTGCGATGAATGGAGGAGTACATCATGTTTCCAGGATGCACGGCGTTGGACGTGACCCCACGCGGGGACAGGCGGCGATGGAGCTCATTGGAGAAGAGAATGTTGCAGAGCTTGGACCGGTTGTAAGCCAGCATGGCCCAATAGTCATTTTTAGATGGAGAAAGGCGGCTGAAGTCCAGTTTTCCCGAGGAATCATTAATATCTGTGAATCTAAAAAAAAAAAAGAAAAGAAGAAAGAAATATGACATGAAGCAGCCAATCTCTGACTTCTGATACTAGCTTTTTTTTTTTTTTTTGTAGAAATCTGAGGAAACCAGAGACAACTGAGAACACAATTGTGCAAATGTAGAAACAGTGTCCCTTAAAAACTAACAATAGTGATTTAACATGATAGACCAACTGGGTCCAAAGACAGAGTAAATAAAGGCCCAAACTCAGAAATGGGGCAATCATAACACGCTGAACTCCCACCCCCGCCCCCCCCCCCGCCCCTGCCGCCCAACACGGATTTTTCAAAACCTTCAACAGGAAGTTCAAGGATAATTAAATTAAATTGGAAAAGCATCTTAAATAAAGGGCTGCTGCTTTTGGAAGCAGAAAGATACCACATTCCTAACCTCTGACAGGACTTTCCTGGGTTGTTCTAGCCAACGCATGAGTCCTGTATATTTTCATTCGAGCATCCAAGTAAATATAGATGAGTCTTGCTACCCCCAAGACTCTTTTCCAGATTAAAAATTCATGACTATAAAGGGGTTATAACCTTGGTGAGGTGCCATCAATAGTCTTATACGTTTAAAAGATAAATGTAAACAAAGCCAAAATGAGTTCTGGCAAAGTCTACTGTTTTTAAGTACAACCATGGCATGGATACACACAAATCAAAGTAAGTAGTTGGTGTTTTATAACTGGGTCTGACGGATTCATTAAACACCAGCTGTTTGGTTCTTTCCTTTTTTTCCTCTTTCTTTCTCTTTCTCTCTCCATCCTCTCTTCCTCTCTCTCTCTCTCTTTTAAGTAACAAAGTAGTGACTGCCCTAAAAGAAAAAAAAAATCATAACAAAAGGAATTTTCTAGATGATGGTCTCAGCCTTGCTAAGGACCCCTCAGTTTCCTTCACTAAATTAATTCTGGGCATTTGCACGAAGTAATAAGGAAACATAAGGAGAGTACTCTGGGTAACTGCTGTGGAAACAGAACCAAAAGGTAAAATGAAAATTATGGAATAATCTGGTTGTTCCTTAATATGAGCAGTTCAGGTTGAGCTACGACCAAGGAAAAGCATCACAGGGACAGATGAAATTCATGTTTTAATGGAAATTAAACCTCCCTTCTGCAGGACTCAGTCAGTGACATCCAATTTCTGGTGTTAAATGACACTGCTGCTCTGAAGTCATCAACAAAGCCGATGGCCAGAAATGTTATCACGAATATGGCAACAAGACCTTGAAACTAATTGTTGGCTGCCTGTTTCCAAGTCCCCAAACCACAGGAAGGGCCCAGACTTCTGAGCTTAATCATCTAAAGCAGTGGAACTTAGCGGGAAATTTGAAAATTTATGGGGTCCTTTCTCTGGTGGTTATAATGATTGTCGGCGGGGGCCGGGGATGGTAGATGTCCTGCAATGCAGATGGAGTCTTGCTCAGTGAAGATTGGCCCACTGGACATTCACGCAGATGAAAAGCCTGTGTATAATTATCTGAGCCTAGAGCCTGGCTGTGTTGTACATATATGCACAGTTTTAACATCCACTGAATTTCCAAGAATGTAGTTTAACAACCATGCAAATGAAGAATGAATGCACTTTCAGATTCCGTGGGTTTTTGGGAGGAGGTGAGGCTTGATTCCATGCTGGTAGTATTTGAGTCTTCAGTGTCACACACCTGTTAACAGTCTGCATTTGTGAGTATCCCAATGGAGGTGATTTATGCACGGACACACACCTCTGATAACTTACCTTTCCTGTAGTCCTGCTCAAGCAAGAAACATGCTATTTTGCTTCACATTTATTTTTCTTCCCATTACAGTTAAGCTAGCATATTGAATTAAAATGTATTTATGCAGGGATGTTATATTATTTCTGAACTTTATTTCCAAGTAGTAACAAGGTATAACAAAATGAGACTGCTGAGAACCCAATGATCCAACATATGGGTCATGTCTTAGAAATTCTACCTACTCTAAGTAGAAAGGAGCATCAAGGATCTAGGCAGCATCTAAATGGTATGGGACAAAAATAACATCCTTCTCTCATTCTCCACTATTCTTCCACCAGCTTTGCTGGAAATCATTCTTGGCATATTTGTTTAGCCCAGCCCAGCCTGAGTGCCATTTCTTCCAGGCAACTCTCCCCAACGGTTTATTCTCACAATTTCTTGGGTGGCAATGGGGGACAAATTGAAAGAAGCCATGCAAGCAACCTCTTCGACCTCAGCCGCAACAACTTCCTAGAAACATCACCAAAGGCAAGGGAAGCAAGGGCAAAAATGAACTACTGGGACCTCATCAAGATAAAAAGCTTTTGCACAGCAAAAGAAACAGTCAACAAAACCAAAAGACAACCGACAGAATGGGAGAAGATACTTGCAAATGACATATCAGATAAAGGGCTAGTATCCAAAATCTATAAAGAACTTCTTAAACTCAACACCCAAAGTACAAATGATCCAATCAAGAAATGGGCAGAAGACATGAACAGACATTTTTCCAAAGAAGACATCCAAATGGCCAACAGACACATGAAAAAGTGCTCAACATCACTCGGCATCAGGGAAATCCAAATCAAAACCTCAATGAGATACCACCTCACACCAGTCAGAATGGCTAAAATTAACAAGTCAGGAAATGACAGATGTTGGCGAGGATGCGGAGAAAGGGGAACCCTCCTACACTGTTGGTGGGAATGCAAGCTGGTGCAGCCACTCTGGAAAACAGTATGGAGGTTCTTCAAAAAGTTGAAAATAGAGCTCCCATACGATCCAGGAATTGCACTACTGGGTATTTACCCCAAAGATACAAATGTAGGGATCCGAAGGGGTACGTGCACCCCGATGTTCACAGCAGCAATGTCCACAATAGCCAAACTGTGGAAAGAGCCAAGATGTCCATCGACAGATGAATGGATAAAGAAGATGTGGTATATATATACAATGGAATCTTATGCAGCCATCAAAAGGAATGAAATCTTGCCATTTGCAACGACATGGATGGAACTGGAGAGTGTTATGTTGAGCGAAATAAGTCAATCAGAGAAAGACATGTATCATATGACCTCACTGATATGAGGAATTCTTAATTGCAGGAAACAAACTGAGGGTTGCTGGAGTGATGGGGGTGGGAGGGATGGGGTGGCTGGGGGATAGACACTGGGGAGGGTATGTGCTATGGTGAGTGCTGTGAATTGTGCAACACTGTTGAATCACAGATCTGTACCTCTGAAACAAATAATACATTATATGTTAACAAAAAAAAAAAAAAAGAAGATAGCAGGAGGGGAAGAATGAGGGGGGGGAATCGGAGTGGAAGATGAACCATGAGAGACGATAGACTCTGAGAAACAAACTGAGGGTTCTAGAGGGGAGGGTGGTGGGAGGACGGGTTAGCCTGGTGATGGGTATTAAAGAGGGCACGTTCTGCATGGAGCACTGGGTGTTATATGCAAACAATGAATCATGGAACACTACATCAAAAACTAATGATGTAATGTATGGTGATTAACATAACATAATAATAAAAAAAAAAAAGAAAGAAGGAAGCCATGCAAAGCAGATGGAAAGACATGTTTCCAGGGAAATTAGGCACCCACTCGCCAGGATCCAGGCCATGACGTCCCTAGTGTTCAATGACCCCACTCCACCCCAACCCAACATCAGTAACAAAGCAAATCATGCCATCTTTGCCTTTTATCTGTACAGTGTGCCTCTGTCCTTACCACACCAGACTGCAAGCCATTTATTCACCTGCTTCCAACTCTGGACTGTGAATTCCTAGAAGGTGGACAGTAAGCCCCTTGCATATTGCCTACCACAGTGCCTGACACAGAACAGGGACTAAATACAGGATTAGAGAATTAAAGTTTGGTCGTGGGTTCGGAATTCCAAACTAAGGGCCAAGTTTCCCTTATTACAAAAAGCTTTGTTTTGAGCCTTGTTCCAAAGGCAAAATTTAGCACGAGCTTCAGGTCCTCTAGGTTCTTCATCAATATGTCTGTGGCTGAAGTTTAGAATGAATCTCCTGCTTTGGTTTTTAAGGACAACGCAGAAGTACCTCATGACAGGAGAACACTGGGGAAGTTAAGAGGGAGAAGGGAAATCATTCCTAGTCCTTAATCTAGAAATAAGGTGAAACACACACACACACACACACACACACACACACACACACCGTGATGAGAAATTAGATGGAACCCAGTTGAAGTAAGTTCTCAGGATGGAGAAGCACAGCTACTATACGGCAGGCCCATCCTTTGCAAGCAGCCCCCCTCCATAAGCGGACCCCTGACTTCCTGCCCTGCTGATCTCCTGAGCAGCAGACCCATTTTTAAGGTCTGATTAGCTTATATTGACAGTCCTCTGGGAAACGGGAAGGGTGGGCAAGCTTTCTGATTCCTCTGAACCAGGACAGGCTTCCTAAAAAACGACCATGTTCACCTCTCAGCTCCAGAGGCAGTAAAACAACTCTTCAAAGGCTGCTTACCCTATTTTCAAGTTGAAAAATTGACAAAGCCACACAATAATGTCTTAATAGATTTATCCTCTTACCAATACAGTAAAATGTGAACATTTGCTCTCTGGATGTTAACACTTGCTGTTTGTGGGGACCTCTATCTTGTATTTCTATATCTACTGCTCCTTTATTTTTTTTTAACCAAGGATTTTTAAATTACCAAACAAAAATAATTAGGCTGGATTCTATGTAGACAAAAGCTAGTATGTTCAAAGAGTAAGACTGAATTTGCGTCAGAAGCTGCACATGCGTGTGCGTGCATGTGTGCATGTGTGCGCGTGTGTGTGTGCGTGTGCGCGTGTGCAGCAACTTCGCACTCAACACAGCTGCAGCCATTCAGAGTTGTACAGCCAGCCCTCCGCTCTTTTCATTCTATTTTAATTGTTATCTGAAAATTTTTCACAGCAAGGAAGTAGAGTTCTCATTTTAATATGATGTATTTTGGGTACGCAAAAACTTCATTCACTTGCTCAGACTCCAGATAAGTAACTAAAATACAATGAAGACACGGGGAGGCTAATAAATATTTTGCCTGGGGGCAGTCTGGTATAATATTTTTCTGCAAACATAGGACTTTATTTTTCCCCGAACAGGGGGTCTTGACTCCAACAAAAAGACTCCGCCAAGGTTTATGGAGGTAATTAGATATCAACACTTCCCTTTTACAACATGGTTTAGGGCTCTGGGTCCTTGAGCAGTGAGCGAGTGCTTTCCCAGGACTGTGCACCCAGGACTCACACTGTTGTTTTGGGCACCACAGGAGGGCAACACAAGGGTCATAAACAAACCATCTTGGGGGAATTAGCATTTTGTAAAAATACCCCCTAACAGGTGCCAACGATGACCAGAAAGCAGAAAAACCAGTGCCAATCAGCAGACAGGAGTGGGCCTGATAAGACATTTCAGGAAGTCCTTGTCTGTAAACTAAAATGGGTCTAATTCAGGAGACCAAGGCCCTTCCTTCCAATTCGTCTGTTCTGTGAAATTAAGATTCAGATCTCCAAGGTAGGCTCGAATTATGCGGCAGTTAAGAAGAGAACAAAGACGTCACATGGAATACCATTTGAGATCCAGATTTACAAAGGGAAGCAAGCAGCTGACAATTCAACATAATCTCCCATTAAATACCAACTCATTTAAACATATCCTGTGGTGCCCTCCACATCTGGCAAAGGATCGCAGCTGGCAGATTTATTTCCGGAGCTTGCTCTCCTGCGCCGGCCCCCACAGTCGCCTCCCTCACTCCTGAGCAGGACCACTCCACTTTTTTTTTCCCCCACAAACCTGGTGCGATTTACAAAGATAAGGATGTCCAGATTCTGTTACCACCTAATTACTAGATGTTTCATGTCTTTTAACACGGGGGAGGATTATTACGGGCATTTTCCTTTCATTTCAGCCACCATAAATTTAAAATGGTAAAAGTAAATCTATCTGCAATGTGTCACTTATACCATAAGCCCCTGTGTTTGGGAGTGATAAAGGGTTCAGGCTAACCCTTGGCTGGTCTCTCTTTTCCAAGTCCCAGGGGTTACATTTTATGGAAGCATGATTAAAAAAATAAGCTTCATTCTGGGTCACTAAAACATTTCAGGACTTAAGACGGAGAAGAAGGGGAAAAAAACAGACCTTTGCACATTATTTTTTTCCAGCTACTTTGCAAAGAGTGAAAGCTCCCAACCACACCAGGAAAATCTCCCTAACATGCATTAAATCTAGCCTCACCCGGGAAGTCCTTTGTCTTCTCCGACTACTTCTCTTTAGACAAATAGTTGTTTATCCAACTCCAGAAACAAATATGCTGAAAATACAATGAAATTTTCAAATGCCTTTTTAGTCAATTGGATATTCTCCTAATGGTAATAGAAGAGAAGTGCCATCTGATGTTTTAATTGAAATTTTAACCAAAAGAGGCATGGCCAGATTTCTAATATGTTCTAACTACAGTACTTTCCCTTTCTACAATTACACAGCCAATGTCTGCATTGAATTCCCTAATTTCTCATTATAAAACAATTGGATTTCATCTCGCAGTCTTTAATTGCATTGTTTCTCCTGCTAGAATAACTGCACATTCTTCTTGGTGAGGTGTTGAAGTTGTTGAATGACAAATCGATAAAGGTCAGGCATTCAGATTTAATCAATTATTATTCCATCTCGAAGCAAAATCAATGAGGAGCTTGAAGTATAGTTGTAAAAACCATCTACATTGCTGTAGACAAAACCCCCAAATAATCCTCCACAATCTCAAAACAAGAGAAAGACCTCGGAAAATTAAGGAAGCCAGATTGAGTGCACCCACACTTTCCAGAGGAGCATCACTGAAAAGTATTTTTGGGAAAGGGAGCCTCGGGAAGATACTGGCTGGCACAAGGAAGGGGCCAGATGAAAAAAAACAATAGATGCTAACCCACCTATGGGACTCGGACGAGACCACAACTACTCGGGCAGGAGCTGAGCGGCACAGGACATCCTGAAGGAGCTGGACAAGGTAGAAGTGCCCCAGGTGATTCACCTGGAAGGTCGTCTCCAGGCCATCTTTGGTGAGGCTCCAGGGCAGAGCAAAAGCCGCTCCATTGCACACAAGCACGTGAAGAGATCTGAAAAATAAAACATCCAACACTGTGCAGACATAAACACTCTAAAACCAAGGATAACCCATGTTCTGACAGGAATAATCAACTCTTCCCTGTCTTCAAGATTCATCAGTTAGAAATGGGATGTCACAGCATGAGCCATGCTGCTGGGGAAGGGCTTATACTGTGAGCGGGCTGCAGGGCACCAGGAGTTCCCCACGATACAGGACTTTCAGTGCTCAAACTGGGACTGCACTGGGCAAACTGGTCACCCTGGATGGAACCCAGATTCTAAAACCTAATTTTATCTGTGCATCTTAGTTTATCCAATTCTTAGCTTCTTCACCTAAAAAATCAAAATAACCCTTAAGGTAGATGTAAGAAATAAAAGAGAATATAGGTTGTATAAATACCAACACAGGAACCAGCATTTAATAGGTTCTAAGTAAATGTATCAAGGGGGAAACTCTCTGTTTAAAGAGACAGGCACACATTGTTTGAATATATTCCTCCCAGAGGTCAAATTACATCTACACTTTAGAAACAAGGGAGCCCAGGGATGGGTAAGTGGAGGTCTATTATAATATTTTCTCCTATTTTGAATATATTTAATTTGTTTCATAATAAAATTTTAAAAAGTAAAAGTAAGCCTTTCATGTGAATCAAAATCCTAAATCCTCATAAAGAAATGGTACTTGTGGGAAAATCATCCTAAGGTGCTAATAAGAATTGTAAAAAGGCATATATTAAAGGCTACCCATAGTGTTTGTAACTACATTATAAAATCAAAACATTACAAAATAAACGAAATATAAAATTGGGAAATCATTAAATGAATCTGAATATATGCATACTATGCAGCCATTAAAATGATACATCTTTTGACCCTGTAAAACATGCATGTTATAGAACAAAATATGTAATTTTGTGGGGCGCCTGGGTGGCTCAGATGGTTAAGCGTCTGCCTTCAGCTTAGGTCATGATCCCAGGGTCCTGGGATTGAGCCCCGCATCGGGCTCCCTGCCCTGCAGGAAGCCTGCTTCTCCCTCCTCCACTCCCCCTGCTTGTGTTCCCTCTCTCGCTGTGTCTCTCTCTGTCATATAAAAAAAAAAAAAAAAGTAATTTTGTATGACCACATAACACACACAAAATATTAATGAAGGGTACACAAAAATGTGAAGAGTAGTTGTCTCTAGGGGTGGGTGGAACCCTGAAATGTCTTAAATTATCTGCTTTCTGAGTTTTAATTTTGATGAAATGCAAGTTGTATACACTTTTTTCTTTTGTCACTTGTGCTTTTGGGGTCCTATCTAAGAAACCATTGCCTAACCCAACATCACAAGGATACACTTCTATCTTTTCTTCTAAGAGTTTTAGTTTTAGCTCCTGCATTTAGATCTATGATCCACTGTAAGCTAACACAGAAGTAAGGTGAATGCAAGAGATCTAACTTCATTCTTTGGCATGCAGGTATTCCAACTATTGTAGCTTTGTTGTGGTTTTTTTTTTTTTAAGATATTTATTTATTTCAGAGAGACACAGCGAGAGAGGGAACACAAGCAGGGGGAGTGGGAGAAGGAAAAGCAGGCTTCCTGTGGAGCTGGGAACCCAATGCGGGGCTCAATCCCAGGACCCTGGGACCATGACCTGAGCCGAAGGCAGACGCTTAACCAATGAGCCACCCAGGCACCCTAGCTTTGTTTGTTAAAAAGACTATTCTTCCCCCCATTGAATGATCTTGGCACCCTTGATGTAAATCAATTGACCAACTGAAAGAGTTTATTTTGGGACTCTCAATTCTATTCCATTATTATGGTAGTACTATAGTCTTTATTACTAAAGCTTTGTAGTAAATCTTTAAAATGGGAAGTGACAGTAATTCAATGTTGTTCTTTCTCAAGCTTGGGTTGGCTAGTCAGGAGCCTTGCATGCACATATATAAAGCTTAGAGTCAGCTTTCAATTTCTGCCAAAAAAGCCAACAGCAATTTTGATAAAGTTTTACATTAAAATTGCAGATCGGGGTGCCGGGGTGGCTCAGTCAGATAAGCGTCTGCCTTCAGCTCAGGTCATGATCTCAGGGTCATGGGATTGAGCCCTGAGTCGGGCTCCCTGCTCAGTGGGGAGTCTGCTTCTCCCTCTCCCTTTGCCCCTCCCCCCCACTTGTGCTCTCTATTTCTAAAATGAATAAGTAAAACCTTTTTTTAAAAATTGCAGATTAATTTTGAGAATACTGTCTTCTTAACAATATTACATCTCTTGATCCATGAACATGGGATGTCTTTATATATATTTAGGTCTTCTTTACTTTCCTTCTACAATATTATATAGCTTTCAAAATACAAATTTATCACATCTTTTATTAAATATATTCGTAAGTATTTTATTCTTTCTGATGCTATGGCAAATAGAATTGATTCTTAATTTGATTTGGGAATTATTCATTACTAGTGTATAGAAATACAATTGATTTTTGCATATTGACTTTTTATCCCCCAACCTTGCTGAAATTATCTATTAGATTTAATTGTTTTTTTAAGTGGCTTTCTTAGTGTTTTCTACACTTAAGGTCATTTTGCCTGCAAATAAAGATAATTTTACTTTTTCCTTTCCAATTGGAATGTCTCCTTCCCACCCCCATTACTCTGACTAGCATTTCCAGCACACTATTGAATGGAAGTGGTAAGATTTAATATCCTTGTTTTGTTTCCTGATCTTAAAGGGAAAGCATTCAATATTTCAGCATTAAGTAGGTTAGGTGTGGGTTTTTTTTTTAGAAGCCCTTTATCAGGTTGAGGAAATGTCCTTGTAATCCAAGTTTGTTGTGTGTTTTTATCATGAAACGGTGTTGGACTTTTTCAAATGCTCTTCCTGTGTCCAATGGCATATCCTTTATTTTACTGATGTGGTATATTACACTGACTTTCAGATGTTAAACCAACCTAGAATTCCTTGGATAAATCATACCTTGCCATAGTGTATAATCCTTTTTATATATTGCTGCCTTTGGTTTGCTAATATGTTGTTGAAGATGTATACATCTATATTCCTAAGCGATACTGGTCTGTAATTTTCTTGTGATGTCTTTATCTGGTTTTCAAATCAGACTAATACTGGCCTTATACAGTGAGTTGAGAAGTTTTCTTTCCTATTCATTTTTTCTTAGAGTTTGCTAAGAATTGGAATTGGAATTAGTTCATTAATTATTCATAATATTGATATTATTAATGATCTCAATGATACTAATTTCATTAAGAATTCATAATAAATGCGTGGTAGAAAGCATGAATTAATTTATCACTAGAGGAAAAAAGAATTAACTCGCTGTTTTTTAAAAAGTATTTATGTAAATCTCATTGCCACTAGGTCTCATTGAGAAACTATCTTATTTGTTCTGTTGCCTGATAAAGCTCCAATCCACCACCTACCTAAAACCTAAAAGTGCTGATGTGGCTGAGGTCAGCTGTGTTTGGTTGGGATCACCTGTTTTCCACTTATGGTCCCTCTAGTTGTCAATGCGCAGCCCCCCAACAACCCAGTTACTCTCTGAAGAGGTGGACAAAAAATGCTTTGAGGCATCTGGTCTACCTAGAACATTCATCAGAGCCTATTTCAAATCAAAACAGAATCTACTCATTTATAACCAAAATAACCCATATTTTGTAGTAAGGCAAGACCATTGGAAAAAAACTTTGAGAGAGAAACGGGAAAAGGGCCAAGTGAATATATGAATTATATGTGAGCTCCTTTCAGTTTTCATCTCAAATATTTGGTTCACTTTTTCAGAGTTGTTGACACTTTTTTTTTTTCCTTTGAGTGATAAATGGGGATTAGGCATTTATTAATAGCTTTGTGTACATAAGAACCTTAAGTGATATGTATTATTATTAACATTTTACAAACAGGAAAACAAGAGATTAGAAACAAACATCCTATGGTCTGAATAAGAATCAGAAACAGCTAAAATAAAGAAGCAAATGATTAAGAACAAAACAAAACAAAATAAAATAAGATCAGTTCAGTTCAAAGCTACTGCACAATACCTTCTTTCTTAGATAAGCTCCCTTAAATGGGTAGAGACAAGTGCTGACAGAAATTCTAGCTCAGTCATGTCACTATACTTACCTGACTTGAGGCCAGTTCGCTAACGTCTGTAAACCTGTCTCCACTCCCTGTAAACTCAAAACAGCAGCGTACACCCCTCCCAAGGTTGTGAAGAGTAAAATCCCAGTATTGTGCAAGGTACACGCCAGGTTAAATCACTGTTACTTCCTTTGTCTCTATACCCTTCCCTTCTATCCACAGGAGAAAATACAACTCCTCAAAGTTGATTTTTGCAGTGTTTCCATGTCTTTAGGATAGGCCTGGGCATTTGGAATTTTGACACCACACCTCTTGGCCTCCTCAAGTTACCTTTATCCCTGCCTGCACATTTTCTCAAGGAAATGCAAAACACATCAAGAAACTTGCTACCAAAGATCTCAGCCTGGGGGCATGAATCCATAGAGGACATGGGAAATCCTCTCCTCTTTCACCAAATTTTAATACCCTTCATTAATGTTAATTGCACCACCAGAGGCAAAATATGTACCCTGTACCTAAAACTTGTCACCTCCATTAATTAAAAACAGGCTTATGGAATATGAAACTATAAAGTGTTAGACTTTTTTTAATTGTAAAGACACTTAATTGGCTTGTACAAAAGGAAAAGAATTTCTTTTGCCTCACTTTAATGAGGTTTTTATTATTCAAATGGCACATTTTGCTCAGTTTTGACTAAAAGCCATTGCAATTCAAAAGGCTCTGAGATGATGAATATTTACAGAATATCAAAAGGAAAGTTCAAACTATAAAGACAGAATGGAAACAAAAATAGTATCATTCCAATTCCAAAGCTGATGCTGTTAGTCAGCACTCTCTGGGCCTGATTTTTTTTTCCTTCTTTGGTGGATTCTGGTCTGTGAGGGGTGAGCGAGGACAGGGGAGGTCTTCAATGTATAGAAGATCCCAATGAAAGGGGGTGTG